CTGTTTCGGTTATTTCTAAGAATTTTTTTTTTTTTTTTTTTTGTTATTCAGTTCTTTGCATATTAGCTTTTGCTCGCACGATGTTCGGTTTAACGTTATGATTTCAAATGCAACAATAAAGAAAATAAATTATATCTTCGAAATTATTAAATTTTATTTAAAAAAATTGCTTATATTGCATTGTATGGAATTTCAACTAAATTGGATATTTCAATATAAAAAGAAAACCACTTACATTTCGTAGCTAGTCCCTAAAATATATATTCATATATTTTTTAATTACTTTCATAGTTGGCTATTCTTTTGAAAAGTGTGTCGGAAAAAAGCATATACCAACACTTTTTATATCAATATCTCATTGGTATATTTATTTAGCTTAAATATAATTAATAGATGTTGACTTAAATTTAATTTCATTGATTTTTTTTTTACAGGCGACACGCTCTTCGAAACTGTCAAAAGAAAACTTTCGTTTGTCATCCATATTCTAATATTTCATCAAATTTCATTTATCATAAACAGGTGGCAGCCCTCTTCAAAATATTTTCAAAATGAAGAAGAAAAACTGTTGAAAAAAATGAATGAATGAATTTGATTTTTAAACAGGAGGCAACCACCTGCAAAAAATTTTCAAAATAAAGTTTTCTTAAACCGTTTTCGTTGGCCAACCATAATCTAATACTTCATTTAACTTAATAATAAAATTGAATTTCAGTTTTCAAATACAAATTTTCAAGAATTTAGAATTTGTAGAAATTTCATGAAGTAAAGTCATTTATTTGCTTGAGGTATGTATTACCATGTACATATTTTCGCTTAATAAGTATTGGTAGTGTTGCCAGATTAATGTTTGTGCACATGAATTATATTACACGGCGCTTTGATTACTACAATATAACGCAAATTACAAGGCCTTTACACTGCTACAAGTTTTCAATAAAATCGAACTTTTTAAGCAGTTGGCAACACTCTAAAAAAATATGTTATATGTTAGTCCAGGTCGTAATCTACGAGTAATTAAATGTCGAGTTTACTCACATGCTCGCTCACAAACTTTCACATTTAAAATACTAGTAGGATTTAATTTAACTTGTCAAATATATTTGTTTAAATTCCTAAACTGGTGACAATGCTCGTCAAAATAATTTTGAAATAGAGACAACTTTCTTAAAAGCTCTCTCGTTTGATACAAATAATCAAATATTTTATCTAAATGGTCATTTAAATATATTTTAACTTTTTCATCAGATGGCAACACACACAAAATATTTTCGAAATAGACTCAGCCTTCTTAAAACCACTCCCGTTTGATAGTCGTTTTAAAATATTTTATCTAACTGATCATTTAAATTTATTTAAACTTTTTGAACAGGTGGCAACCCTCTTAAAATTATTTTCGAAACAGAAACAGCTTTGTTTAAAAGTTCTCTTGCTTGACATCTATATTAAAATATTCTATCTAACAGATTTTTTAAGTTTTACCTTCTTGAAGAGGTGGCAACCTTCGTAAAAAATATTTTCGTTGAAGACACTGCCTTGTTATTTATAATTTATTTAAACTTTTTGAACAGGTAGCAACTCTCTTTAAAAGCACTTTTGAAATAGAAACAGCTTTCTTAAAAGCATTCTCGTTTGATATTTTATTTAAGTGGCCATTTAAATGTATTACAATTTTTTGAACAGGTAGCAACTCTCTTAAAAAATATTTACGAAATAAAGGTTTCTTTGAAATAAATCGTTTTTCAACTGATTTCGCTTTTTTTACTTACTATTTATTTGTCTTTAACTTTTTTAACAGGTGGCAACCCTCTTAAAAATTGTTTTCCAAATAAATATCTAGTTTTGGAACCCTTTTCGTTTCATACCCACTCAACTTTTTATAACCGAGCGCACTTGTGCACAAGGGTATTATAACTTTGTTCACATAATGGTTGTTTGTAACAGGCAAAACGAATCGAGATAGATATAGACAAATGTATACATAAATGATCAGAATGAAAAGAGAAATCGATTAAGCGGTGACTGTCTGTCCGTCCGTCCGTCCGTCTGTGCACACGATAACTCGAGTAAAAATTGAGATATCTTAACGAAACTTGGTACGTGAACTTCTTTTGGGCGTGGGACAGATGGTATTGAAAATGGGCGAAATCGGATAATAACCACGCCTACCTCCCATATATCGGTAATTTTAAGAAACTGCGATATTTTAGTAACTACTGAAGCTAATTCACTCAAAATTGATACTTACAATGAGTTTCAGACGGAAAACATGAATATTATAAATTTTTGGAAAATGGGCGTAGCCACGCCCACTTATGGTTACATGTGTATTTCTTGGTAACCGCTGCACCAATTTCTTCCAAACTTGGCACAGTTGTTGGTCCTGGTACAGCATACCAACTGGCCGAAAATTTCTAAAATCGGACAATAACCACGCCCACATCCCATATAACGGTAATTTCGAGAAATACAAAATCTTCGATAAATCAGTAAATATTGAAGCTAATTTATTCAAAATTGATAATTGCAACAATTCTTTACCAAGAAATACGTTTATGACAAAATTTTGGAAAATGGGCGTAGCACCGCCCACTTGTGATCACATATATGTATCTCGCTAACCGTTCTAGCAATTTGTACCAAGCTCGGTATGGTTATTGTGCTTGCCACATAAAAGCAAACCGTTGAAAATTGTTGAAATCGGACTAAAATTGAGGCCGCTTTTCATATAACGGTAAATTTCAGATATGCTTGAAACTGCAATATTTCGAAATTTAAGGACGCTAATTTACTTAAAATGTTTACACCCCGGCTTATCATGTAGCGGTAGCTTTCGGAAAGGTGGAAAACATATATTTAATACTTGCGCCGGGTATTTAATGTTCGGCTCCGCCCGAACTTAGACTTTCTTACTTGTTTTTTGTTAATTAAGTTGAAATTTTTGTTTTGACAGTGCGGTAGCGAGAACATAAATAGGGAAGAGACATTTTAGCAAGTTTGGTTAATTTTCCTTTTAACCGACCTCAAAAATGGAGAAGGTTAACAAAACGTCGGAATATTTTTATATAGTACAATAAAGTGACAGTTTGGAGTTGCTAAATAATCGCATAGATTTTTGATAATTTTTTTTTCTGACGATGTTATGCACTTTTTCCACATAAAAAATTAATTTGTACGGAAGAAAATGAGTCATACCGTCACTAGAAAAATTATCAGAAATCAACGTGATTTTTTTAGCAACTTCAAAACTGCATACCAAAAACTATTCTAGAAATTGAAATTAAAATGTTTGGAATTGGGATCATTTTTATTTGATGCTTGTTGTAAATATCTCTAAAATACAAACAAAAGTTAAACTTTTTTTTCGAAAAATGAAACCTACGAAATTTGCGAAGTCGCGGATCACTGTGACCGGCTAGTCTTTATAATAGAGCTAGCGCGCGCAACTCGCTAGTCTATAATCTTCTTCAAATCGGTCCATAATTTTTGTTCTATGCCATAAGGCTTGTGTTGTCTTGAACTCGATTCACCTCCTCCTTTTAAAAGGGTCTATTTATTTTATACTACATAAATAGCCAGAAAATATACATATGTATGGTACCGCTAGGCGTATGAGTAACAATTTGTGACAAAAGAAAAATGAGCTAAATATACTTGTAAGTGTGGGTAAAGAAGTTTGAGCCCGTGTATGAGAATAAGGTAAGCGTTTTATAAATATTTGTACAAAAAAGTTTCGCGTATAAAGTTTACACCTGTCAAGCGAAAGTATCGTTTCCGTACTTACTTATTTACCCATGCCAACATTTTGTGGATTTAACATGTCATTTAAGGCACACACATATATATACATACTTATATGAGTAAACGTGAGAAAGGTCTGAGTATTAGTAAGTATGTAAACAGTAGCACAAACAGAACAAGAATAAGGCATGCTTGTATGTAAGTAACTATGTACCGCTCCTGTTCGGATTATGCTATGCTAATGTATTTTTATACATACATACATACATATATTTATATTTGTGCAAATATGCGTATGCAAGCGTGTTTGTGTTCATTGTAAACGAGTTGCTTCGCATTCCAACTTACTCGTATGTGCACTAGACTGGGTCGGTCCCCATACAAAAAAAAAAAGTTGCTAATGTCCGCCCCTAAATTTAAAGATTATGTTG